GTGTGATTCATGGCTGGGTTCGTGGTGATCACAGCGTGGTGTGATGAGAGCGTGATGTGTGGTGGTGAATACGTTGTTGTGTGCGTGTGTGTGCATATAGCGGTGTGTGATAAACGGGTGGCGTGTGTGTGTGATGAGTTGCCGATGTGATGAGAGTGTGGTGTGTGTGTGTGATGAGTTCACGATATAATGAGAGTGTAGTGTGGTGTGTGATGAGTTCATGATGTGATCAGAGTGTGGTCTGGTGTGGTGTGTGATGAGTTCACGATGTGATCAGAGTGTGGTGTGGTGTGTGTGTGATGAGTTCCCGATGTGATGAGTGTGTGGTGTGTGATGATGAATGTGTGGTGTGTGATGAGAGTCGTGGGGGTGTGATGAGCGAATGGTGTTTGGCGAGAGTCTTGGTGCGTCATGAAAACGATGTGTATGAGTGATGACAGCACGGTGTGATGACGCGTGGTGTGTGTGTGCGTTCCTTGGTGGGAGCATCAGGTGCAAGTAATACCCCCACCCCCCGCTCTCCCCCAACAGGTGTAAAGGTTAGAGGTGTATGACTCATCTAAGTCGGCTTCGCTTTAATTCCATCTGACGGTGCGCGACGAGGCCGTGATGACCTCATTCTCCACCCTGGTGCACGCGGAACAATTTTTCTGCATCTTTCACAATTTCATTGCATTTGTCCCGTCGATGTCATGCCACGAGACGGCGCGTCCATCCGGAACTCCTGAAGCAGCGAGCGGCGTGCATCTCCCCGTGCCAGAGAACGGCCCGCGGAACGAGGTGTCACAGAAGCACTTCTGTGATATTAAACATAATTTGGAGCTTTCGTGACTGCAGGAATTACTCTTTGGTTCTTTCGGTAAAGTCACGTATAAAGATAAAATAATACATTTAATACTAGCATACGACGTTTCGATTGCAACACAAGCAATCGGCATCAGGTATAAATGAAATAGAAACACAAATCTAGTATACTTAGAAATGTAATGTAATACAACAAAATTTAGCATTCTCAGGAAGAACGTAATCAACCAGGTAGGGTGTTGACTGTTATGTTATCCGACTCTCTGTTGTATTACATTACATTTCTAAGTATACTAGATTTGTGTTTCTATTTCATTTATACCTGATGATGATTGCTTGTGTTGCAATCGAAACGTCGTATGCTAGTATTTAATTTATAATTTTATCTTTATACGTGACTTTACCGAAAGAACCAAAGAGTAATTCTGTGATATTGTTTTGTCCACATCCTGGTGAGTGCTGAACTTTTCGCACACGCTCTGCTCTGGTGAAATGTACGTTGCATGGTAGCCGAACACATTTTTTTTCCACTGAAGTGGTATCTAGGACCTGGGAATGCATTGCTAAGTGGATTGTGCTCACAAGAATATATCTTCCCACGCCGCAATGTGCCAGCAACATTTTTCGCATGTTTACTTTATCATATAAATTCGTTAATTTAGCAAGGTTTTGTGATTATTGAAGGGGTTGTCCGACATTTAGTAGCCACTCTTCGTGTAACTATTCATATGTTTTTTCTTTGGCCACCAGAAATGTTTAAAAACTGTAATTATCATCAGGTCAAGAGTGTAATGTGCGGGCTCCAGTTCTTCTTGTGCACTATATATTTGGCCTAAGTGCTCTGAAAAAGGCCCATTGCCCTAAACGTCGCCTATTATATAATTTTCCCTTCAACGTCACAGCGTTATTGACGAATGTCTTGAGTCTCTTGTCATTCTTTTTTTGGGAGGTTTTTCAGCTCTAACATTTCGTTAATTGTGAAACGGAATGTCATGAATTCTACGCTTGTGAATCCGGAATTAGTTAGCGGGCGACCGAAACTCGGATTGAAATTCAGAATCTCAGCGGTGGCACTCCATTCTCTGACCTCTGCAACATTCGGTCACCTCCAACCCCCCCCCCTCCACCCCCTGGGAATATGAAGCAACTCTGTACAGGGTGGCCCAAAAATCAGGACACAGCAGGTTATTCCACCCCTTCATAAGTCGTACCGGCCTTAATAGGTGCTCGCTAACAGCACTTGCCCCAGTAGTCAATCAAATTCTATACTCTGCAAGGATCTTTGTCTTTGTTATGTGTGTGCGTGTGAGAGAGTAGGGGAGCGGTAGTGCAGTGGTTAGCGCGCTGCACTACGAACCCGGTGACCCGAGTTTGATTCTCGCTCACGGCCACAAACACAGGTGACGATTATTTGAATCGGTCCGAGGCCTCCCTCAGGTCGACTCAGCCTCAAATGAGTACCTGGTGGCGATGTATAAACATCGCCACTGGCGGAGACAAAGGTGGTCGGGCGTGGTGCTGGCCACCCACCACCCTGTCTTTTCTTGGATTTTCTGTTTGCACATAGTCACTTTAAGATGTTTTCTTGTTCATGTTTTAGTTTTTTTGTTTGTTGCGGTTGCACCCGATTCAAGAGCCGAATGGCTCACAGGGCTATACCTAATAAATGAACTTTGAACTTTGAACCCTCGTGTGGCGTACTGGCCTTCATAGGTGCTTGCCAACAGCACTTGCCCCAACAGCCTGCGAAGGCTATAGGGGGAACCTTTGCCTTTGGTGAATGTGTATGCGCGAACATCAGCACTTTAAAGACGAAAGCTGGCGAGCACCTATTAACACCGTACCATCCTTGCTGCTGTACCGTATGTTCCGTATTATAAGACGCTCCGGAAAGTAAGACGCACCCGAGACTTGTGTTAATAAAAGTGTACAAATCGGGTCTCACACGCACACACACACACACCGGATTATAAGACGCACCCAAACTCTTGATTTACAATACGGGGGAGGGAGGTGCGTCCTATAACACTGGTCAACAACAACAAAAAACATTTTTTTCTGGCCTGGACTTTTGCAGCTGTTTTAGACTAATTTCAGGGTGCTGATTCCAAAACTGATCTCAAATTTGCTTTATCACATCTCATTTTTATGCTATCGGCATACCCCATTTTCATTGATTTTACCCGAAATTAATTCTGTCACTTATGATTGCAAGTTGTTGTATTTTTAGGATAGTGTGTTTATAATATCATTGTATGTAGATATCCACATTTATTTAATATTTTTCTTCTGCAGTTTTTATTGAAAATGCAATATTTGATATCTCAAAAACCTGATGTGATAGACAAAAACTGATGCCAGATTTGGAATCAGCACCCCAGAATTACATTTGAACCGTTGGAATACCTTATGCCAGAAAAAGTGTCTTGACCAGCGTAATCCGAATGCACGGTCGGCGCATTTGCGAGCTGCTGGCGTCCTCTGCAGGGCCACGTGCGTCACTGCAGGCGTGGTGTGATTTGACCATAAATTTCGATTTAAAGCTTTCGTGACTGCAGGGATTTTATTTGGCTATATTTCGCCACTCCGTGAAAGCCAGCTGCTGCCAGAGCGCTCGCTGTCCGAAAATGTCAGGGTTCGGCTCAGTCCATCATCACCATAGCAATAATTATCGTAATACTAATAGGGGTTTTCCCCTTTTTTCTGGCAATAAAAACTGACACCTTTTGCAAGGAATCATGCTTACATTAACCACAATACTTGCAGTCAAATGCAAACAAAAAACAATACTCTGATAGATTTATGCATTGCCTTTGAAACTGGTGTGGACCAATCAGTTTCAAAGACAATGCATACATTTATCAGAGTATTGTTTTTTGTTTGCATTTGACTGCAAGTTTTGTGGTTAATGTAAGCATGATTCCTTGCAAAAGGTGTCAGTTTTTGTTGCCAGAAAAAAGGGAAAAACCCCTATTAGTATATTTTGGTACTGGCAAAGGAGGTCCCATGAAATAATTACCGTCATTTACAAAAATGTTTTACTTGCGAAAGGTTTCGTTCATCGTCGAGAGAATTTTTTTTCTAGGCGCGTGAAATCGCAATTGCCCCAGCTCTGTGGCCCTATATTGTCGCATTTCGATTAGTCACCGTGGGTACGCGTGCATGGGTGCAAACTCATTACTGAATTATAATCTCACCGCGAGATGAAACAGTGGGAACGAAACGACATAATCGAGCAAGCGAGATAAAAAAACAAAAACTGTTAAATTTCGATTTCAAGCTTTCGTGACTGCAGGGATTCATCTTCTTGGTTCTTTCGGTAAAGTCACGAAAAGGGAAATAATAAAATAATAAAAAAAAATATGCTAAATTCCTCTGTTGATATGTAAATTCTTTTGTCAAGGCGCTCTCCTCCTCTAACCCCTGCTTAAAAAATATACACTGCCAAGCCTGGTGGTGTTCATTCGGACGCTGTCTTTCCGATAGCCTTGTTCTTCACCTGAGGACGGCTGCTTGCGTTGTGGCCGAAACGTCGTGATAATTGTATTTTATTATGTTTTATTTTTATTATTTTATTATTTCCCTTCTCCGTGACTTTACCGAGAGAACCAAGAAGAAAATTTTTATTTTTTTTTAAATCGAACCCCAAACTCAATCCAAAGGGGTGGGGCAGGTGGGAGGGGCGGGGCTGGTGGGGGAGGGGTGGGGGCTGGTGGGGGAAGGGCGGGGTCAGTGGGGGAAGGGCGGGGCTGGTGGGGGAGGGGTGGGGCTAGTGGAGGAGGGGTGGGGCTGGTGGGGGAAGGGCGGGGTCAGTGGGGGAGGGGTGGGGCTGGTGGGGGAGGGGTGGGGCTGGTGGAGGAAGGGCGGGGTCAGTGGGGGAGGGGTGGGGGCTGGTGGGGGAAGGGCGGGGTCAGTGGGGGAGGGGTGGGGGCTGGTGGTGGAAGGGCGGGGTCAGTGGGGGAGGGGTGGGGGCTGGTGAGGTTTGCAGGGTGGTGAGAGGGAGGGGGCGAGGGGAGGACGCTGGTGGTGGAGGGGGGGGTAGACCCAGTCACGTGATTCGCTGGTGACATCATCCCGAGGGGAGGGGCGGGGTTTGTTTTGGGGGGAGGGGCGGGGTGAGAGCCAGTCACGTGGGAAACGTGGAAACCTCTTTCCCGGCGTGCACTGCGCGCGCTCCAGATGTTCCGCCAGCCATCTTGGTAAATAGAAGCGGGCAGCAGTCGGGGAAGAAGCAGGCAAGCTCAGTCGTCATCAGCAACAACAACAACATCAACAACAACATCAACAACAACACCAGCAACAACAACAACATCAACACCAGCAGCAGCATCAACAGCGGGGGGAGGCGCAGCACTGGCCGCGATGTTTCGCAGCACCGGCTCCTTCGACCGGCTGCTGGGTGAGGCCAGTTCCGCGGATGCGGTGGTGGTTGTGGTGGTTGATGTGTTGGTTGTGGCTGTGGTGGTTGTGGTGGTTGATGTGGTTGTGGCTGTGGTGGTGGTTGATGTGGTGGTTGTTGTGGTGGTTGTGGCTGCGGTGGTGGTTGTGGCTGCGGTGGTGGTTGTGGTGGTGGTTGATGTGGTGGTGGTTGATGTGGTGGTGGTTGATGTGGTGGTTGTGGCTGCGGTGGTGGTTGTGGTGGTGGTGGTTGATGTGGTGGTGGTTGATGTGGTGGTTGTGGCTGCAGTGGTGTTGATGTGGTTGTGGCTGCGGTGGTGGTGGATGTGGTGGTTTGTTGTGGTTGTGGCTGCGGTGGTGGTTGATGTGGTTATTGTTGGATGCGGTGGTGGTTAATGATGCGGTTGTTGTGTTTGCGATGGTGGCTGTTGTGGTTGCGATGGTGGTGGTTGATGTGGCTGCAGTGGTGGTTGTTGTGGTTGCGGCGGTACTGATTGATGTTGTGGCTGTAGTGGTAGTTGTTGTGGCTGCAGTCGTGGTTGTTGTGGCTGCAGTGGTGACTGACGCGGTGGTGGTATTGGTTGTTGTGACTGGTGTGGTTGATGGGATTATGGTGGTAGTTGTGTTGGCGGTAGTTGTGATTGGTGCGGTTGTAAGGGATAGCGTTGCGCTAAGTAGTTCTAGTTTAAGTGCTGGTGGTTGTGATTTCGTTTTTTGGTGGTTATACTTCATTTTGTGATCGTTGCGGTTGTAGCTGATGCGGTTGCACTCGTGGTGATTTTCTTGGACGTGGTAGGTGTGGCCGAAGAGGCGGTGATTGCGCTTGATGCGGTTGTAGTCAGTGCCGTGGTGGTAATTGTGATTGACGTGATGATGTTTGATATGGAGGTGGTTGTATTTGTATCGAATAGTTGTTGTTGTTAGAAATGGCAGTCGTAGTGATTGCAGTTTCATTCGTGGTGTGTCTACTGCCCGTGTTTAATGCTATACATACGGAAGCTTGACAGACTGAACGAGGTTGCGGCCTTCCCTCGCTGGGTGGGTGGTGGAGGTGGTGGTTGTGGTGGTTGTGATGTCGGGATCGCGGTGAGAACTACCGGACGTGTTGCTGTCGGAATGGCTGTACTGATGGCAGTAGTGGTGCGGGGTTGGGGTGGATGTCTTGGTGACGGTAATTGGGAATCGTGTTGGTGGTGGCAGCATTGGTTCGGGGTTAGAGACGAGGGTGTGGTTGGAATCGTTTTGGTGGGGGTGGGAGGGGAATTAGGATCGTGGAGTTTTGGAAGAGCCCTGAGGATATGTCGTTGTCATGTTGTGTTCAGTTGGCATCTACAGTGGCGTCTTTGTTTAGCGGTGTGGTTATTTCGGAACGGATTGTCGGTATCAGAACCAGTGTGCAGGTGTCGTTTAGAGAGGTCTGGGAGTTGGCCAACGTTTCTGGAGTGCCATTAAGATATGGATGTCGTGATCGAACTGGTGGTGGTGGTCGTGGTATTGGGAGTTATGTGGTCGCGGGGTGATTTGTATACAGTAGTGTGCTTTTGTGGTTGTGCGGTGTGGTCCCGGTGGTTTTCGTGCCGTGGTTGTGGCGTTTGCCACGACGCCGTACAGAATTTGCACACGTGGGGAGGGAATTCTAGTAGACAACAGGACTGACGGCACAGAGGGACCGACCCTCCCATCCAAAATCTTAAATCTGTATTTAGACTGCCGGAGCAATCCGATAAGCTACTAAGCTCTTTTCCACAGATGTCCTGTATGGGCGGGTCGGCCCGCACTGGACGTCATTACGACCCGGCAGTGTTGTCGTGTCATGCTCGCTAAGCCCACGTTAGCAAGTAATAATCCAGTGCCTGTTGTGTGTGTGACTGTGTGTGTGACTTGGTTTATGGGGAGCGGTAAGTGTAGCGGTTAGCGCGCTGCGCTATGAACCTGTCGACCCGGGTTCGATTCCCGCTCACGGCCAACACCAGTGACGATTATCTGAACCGGTCCTGGGCCTCCCCTGGGTCGACTCAGCCTTAAATGAGTACCTGTTGCGGTGTGTAAACATCGCCACTGGGGAGACAAAGGCTTTCGGGCGTGGTGCTGGCCACCCACCCCCTCGTGTACCGTTCCGGCCTTCATAGGTGCTCGCTAACAGCACTTGCCCCTACAGTCTGTTAAAGCTATACGGGGGATCTGTGTCTCTTTGTTGTGACTTGGTTATGAACTCGCTCTGCATTCGAATTCAGACCACGCGCACACATGCGCACCGCATTTGTGTGTGGCGTTAATCGTTAAACACTTGACTTGTTTGCCGTCCTGGTTTTCGGTGTACTTTGACGTCGTGTGCTTACATTACAAACAACTATGTCAGTCCATGACTGGATTTATCCCACCCTGCTGCACACTGCAAACATGGCAGGGGCGGGGAGTTACCACATCTCACACTTGTTTACATGTAGGCTTTCACGACCAATATTATTCTTAATTGGATTATTTTGGGTTAGATTCAAATATTTTTTACTTAAATCTAACTTACCAAATTACTTACACCAATGAGTTGGAGAGTGATAATGGAGATTACCACATGTATGCACGACCTAACCCAACATTAACCAATTATGAATAGCATCTAACCATGATGGTGAGTGTAGATACGTGAAGAGTGACTTGGTTGCCGAGGACCAATTCACATATAACTTGCCATTGCATCTTGAGTTGAAGCTTTCGTGACTGCAGGAATCCATACTCTTTGGTTTTTTCGGTAAAGTCACGTAGGTAGAAAATAAAATAAATCAAGACGTTTCGGGCGCAACACAAGCGTCCGTCATTAGGTGGGAAAGCATGGTCTGCTGCTGAGGCAGACTGTTTACCACTGACTGAGTACAGTCATAATAGTTGTTCGCTCACTGTGTTCTGCAGCAGTCTAAATAACTTGAAGGAAGAAACAGCCAAAAATACATCTCTTGTAGATGCTATGGGCATGTGGCCCTGTCTGTCTGACACGCGTTTGAAGCCTCATTCGTGAAGGACGAATAATTCGAGTGGCATCGTGTCCGTGACCTCGCTGAAGTGACATGTTTGTAAGTGTACGGTAGGCACGACACAGTGATGTCACTCGACGTTACATGCAACATGCACACACAGACTTTAATCTTTTTTTTCTCATTTAACACAGCTTGAAGCCCACGTCAGATAGCCCTGTACACACAGCTCAGTCCTAGATATGTAACAATGATTTCTATCCCTTGGTCATTTGTCAAGAATCGGGGTCTCAAATTCATCAAACCATGTCTTCCGCAGACAAAGCCACGAGCCAGCTGCTGCTGGAGACAGACTGGGACTCCATCCTGCAGATCTGTGACCAGATTCGTCAGGGTGATGTCCCGTGAGTGACTTACTCTCCTCATCAGCCCAAGTGACTCGCCACACTGTCTGCATGCCTATCCCTTTCTTTCACCAGTCTCTGTGAGATCCGCTCCACCTCATTGAGTGTGGATGATGACAATCGTGGGGGGGTGAAAGGAATGTGTCATCGGCAGCGTGCTGGAAGAATAATATTTTACGGGACTACTTTGGCAGTGATGCAGAAGCACAAGTGAAAAACGCAATTCGATGTTTGTCGATAACTGCCTCATGACAGAGAAGTGTATAATAGGTCAACAAATGTTTTCGACATTGCCCCCTTTCCTCAGAGTGGCACGCAACAGACGCATGGAGAGTGACAACGAAATTTTTACAACAAAACCGAACTTTTTTCAGAGAAGGGTACTGGGGAAAAAAAAAGGAACATGTGGATCGGAGAACGAATGCAAATGAAATACAAACGCGTTGACCGTTAAGAAAATTAAGTGGCCTCTAGGGCAGGACATATGGCCAATAGAAATTATAATAGAAATTATGGCTGATATCCCAGACTGGTGACAATGGTATCCAAAGGAAAATGCCCAAGGTAATTACGACTGTGGAGATGGAAAAATGAGGTCAGTTCATGTGTAGGCCTCAAATAATTCCAGCAATGCAGGGCGGTGAGGGTTTGCATTGTTTTGGAGGAACGCTCATCCAACAGTGGATAGACAAGTGGCTGATGATGATAACAAAGGCGGCAGCGTTAAGGACCGGATTATGGAGAAGTTGGTGAACGTTCTTGACAAATGTTCAACTCGCCACGATTGCCTGGCGGTGGTGGCGCACACCTGGTCAGGGTAGGTGGATCACACAAGTTTGTGTTTGTGACCAGATTTGTATAACTTTATTGAAGCTCGGCACAAGTTAGAGGTGCTCCTGAATTTCCGAAATGGTTACGTAATCTTGAGAATGCAGTATTGTCGCAATGCACGTCGTGGATGTGCAATGTTCGCGGATACACGGAGAAGCCTCCATTTGTCCTCGACAATGAATGTGTTTCTCCCCTCCAACCACCCCCCTCCCCCCATCTGCAACGGAACTTGCGGTTCACCACGCAGGGTCAAATACGCCATGCCGGCCATCAAGAGGAGGGTCAGCGAGAAGAACCCACACGTTGCCATGTTCGCCCTCCAGGTGGGTACTGCGCCTCTCCGGAGGGCAGCCGACGAACCGTGACTATGAGAACAAATACTTGCGCAACCAGTTTTTACAAGAAACACCCAACAGTCGAGCGATTATCTCGGCGATTTCCGGTGACGTATTTAACCTCGTGCGCACAGGTGCTCACCAACAGCACCTGCCCCGGACAGTCTCGTTAAAGGCTCCACGCGACATCTTCGTTTTTTTGTGTGTGTGGCCAGGTGCTGGAGTCTGTGGTGAAGAACTGTGGGCAGCTGGTGCATGATGAGTTGGCCACCAAGCAAACAATGGAAGAGTTCAAGGAACTGTGCAAGGTGGTTGACCCATCTACCTCGTTTTTTTTCTTTCCCATTGCTTCATCCGAGCCTTGTCTGTCCGGCCTGTCGCGGATCAGGAGGCCCGGGTTGCTTTTCCACTGCAGATCCAGAGCCGTGCCACTGATGTCACACCATGCGTGATGTTGAGACGCATGCAGATGATGCAATGACGCATACATGCACGTGCGCTCAAACTCCTATGCCACATTGACGCACACTCACATATGTACACACTTCCTCAGCACCCCAAAGCTGCGGACACACTGGGTACCATTTTTGTTATATTCTGGTGTGATCATGTGACACGCGTTGAACGCACAATTAGCCCATTAGCCCTGTTCCAAACTCTTCTTGTCTCTGAGCAAGGTCCTGGTGTCTTGTGGTTCCAGCTTGGCTCATCAAATAGCCAGTGGAAAACCGCCTGTACAGTGATGGCCCCATGCTGCCTCAGCTCGACTCGAATGTGCTCGTAGAAAGAGGTATTTGTTGGGCCTAACCCTGAGCCTATCCTTCCATTCACATCGGGGTCCTGTCTGATGACCTTTATCCTCTTAAGCTCAAATCTAACACTCATTCTCTTAATGAAAACGCTCAACATTGATTTACTTTAGTCCTTGGGAGCATTCGTGCACCGCATTGACCAGGTTAACTCAGACTACCCCTTGTAGTTGGACAGTCTATAATGTAAGTTGAATGGTTTTCATCCGTTTAACACGTAGGCTTTTGTGACCAATATCCATAACAAAAAAAATGGGTTAGATCACGTAAATATAAATGTGGCGTTAAACCCGCCACCACCCGACGCAGCCAATTATTAAGTTTTGTCACGTAAACAAAACGTGCAAATAATGTCGGTAGCAATACAACACAATGTTGGTAGCAATACAACACAATGTTGGTAGAAATACAACACAATGTTGGTAAAAATACAACACAATGTTGGTAGCAATACAACACAATGTTGGTAGCAATACAACACAATGTTGGTAGAAATACAACACAATGTTGGTAGAAATACAACACAATGTTGGTAGAAATACAACACAATGTTGGTAGCAATACAAGATACGTTGCGCTACCCATGCGCCTCATTCACACGGCCGACTTGCTGTGCAGTCGCGACCAGCGGTGCTGTTTGTCACATCATGTTCGCTGGAGCGTGGTGCCCCGGTGTGCCCCGCTTAAACTCTCCCAGGCAGGATGCAACCTGCGTGCGGAATGGATATGCGTTGCCCAGCTTTGCGTGCAGCATTGGTGGAAAGAAAAGGTGGCCACAGTGCACGCTGGTTCGGGTCGGGCGGTTCAAAACAATAATAATTCAACAAATCTTCTCTTAGGCGAGTGGCCATGTTAGTATTATGCGGACATTCGTGCACAACTAACTTTGGATTCCACTCATTTCATTTGTGCCGTTGTCTTCCGATGCGGGCCTGTGGCTAGAACCTGCTAAGCTAGTCCAACAGGTGGTGTTTTAAAATGTTGTCCGTCAATGTAAATTCTTACCAATTTAAAACATACAAACAGAGGGGGGGTGGGGGAGCTGGGATTAGGGGTGGCGTGTCACGTTCAGTGGGTGGCGCTGTGTTCTCTCGACAGTGGTTGGGGGTTGGTGGGTGATGGGTGGGTGGGTGATGGGTGGGGTAGTGTAGTGGTTAGCGCGCTGCGCTACGAATCCGGCAACCCGACTTCGATTCCCGTTCACTACCAGCACCAGTGACGATTGTGAACCGGTCCTGGGCCTCCACTCACTCGACTCGGCCTCAAATGAGTACTTGGTGTGATGTGTAAACATCGCCACTAGGAATACAAAGGTGGCCGGGCGTGGTGCTGGCCACCCACCCTCTCGTGTGCCGTTCTGGCCTTCATCGGTGCTCGCCAACAGCACTTGCCCCTCAGAGTCTGCTAAGGCTACACGGGGGACTTTTATTGTTGTTGACGGGAGCTGTGTTCTCGGTGAGAGGGGTTGGGGAGATGTGGTGGGGTGGGTGGGTGTCTGGGTGAGTGAGTGATGGGGTGTCTGGGTGAGTGAATGGTGGGGTTGCTGGCTGAGTGAGTGGTGGGGTGGCTGGCTGGGTGAGTGGGTGGTGGGGTGGGTAGGTGTCTGGGTGAGTGGTGTGGTGGCTGGCTGGGTGAGTGAGTGGTGGGGTGGGTGGGTGGGTGTCTGGGTGAGTGAGTGGTGGGGTGGCTGGCTGGGTGAGTGAGTGGTGGGGTGGGTGTCTGGGTGAGTGAGTGGTGGGGTGGCTGGCTGGGTGAGTGGTGGGGTGGGTGGGTGTCTGGGTGAGTGAGTTGTGAGGTGGCTGGCTGGGTGAGTGAGCGGTGGGGTGGGTGGGTGAGTGAGTGGTGGGGTGGAAGAGTGAGTGAGTGGTGGGGTGGGTGAGTGAGTGGTGGGGTGGGTGGGTGAGTGAGTGAGTGGTGGGGTGGGTGAGTGAGTGGTGGGGTGGGTGAGTGAGTGAGTGGTGGGGTAGGTGAGTGAGTGAGTGAGTGGTGGGGTGGGTGAGTGAGTGAGTGAGTGGTGGGGTGGGTGAGTGAGTGAGTGAGTGGTGGGGTGGGTGGGTGAGTGAGTGGTGGGTGAGTGAGTGAGTGAGTGGTGGGGTGAGTGAGTGGTGGGGTGGGTGAGTGAGTGAGTGGTGGGGTGGGTGAGTGAGTGGTGGGGTGGGTGGGTGGGTGAGTGGTGGGGTGGGTGGGTGGGTGAGTGAGTGAGTGAGTGGTGGGGTGGGTGGGTGAGTGAGTGGTGGGGTGGGTGAGTGAGTGGTGGGGTGGGTGAGTGAGTGGTGGGGTGGGTGAGTGAGTGGTGGGGTGGGTGGGTGAGTGAGTGGTGGGGTGGGTGAGTGAGTGAGTGGTGGGGTGGGTGAGTGAGTGGTGGTGTGGGTGGGTGAGTGAGTGAGTGGTGGGGTGGGTGGGTGGGTGGGTGGGTGGGTGAGTGAGTGAGTGAGTGGTGGGGTGGGTGGGTGAGTGAGTGGTGGGGTGGATGGGTGAGTGAGTGGTGGGGTGGGTGAGTGAGTGGTGGGGTTGGTGAGTGAGTGGTGGGGTGGGTGGGTGAGTGAGTGGTAGGGTTGGTGAGTGAGTGGTGGGGTGGGTGGGTGGGTGAGTGTATGGGTGAGTGAGTGGTGGGGTGGGTGGGTGAGTGAGTGAGTGGTGGGGTGGGTGAGTGGTGGGAGGCGTGTCGCTATGTTCTGGGTGAGAGGGGGTGGGGTGGGGTGGGCGGTGGGAGGCGTGCGCGGTGTTCTCGGCGAGAGGGGTTCGCGAGACGTGGAGGGGGTGGGAGGGGCGCAGCTGTGTGGGGAGGAGTGTGGCCAGACCCCCGGCGGTAGTGGTGGGGGGGGTCGATGGTGTCAGCCTTTCACGTGAGCGGTGACTCGAGAATGGAAATACCCACGTGCTTGTTTGAGAGCCCCGCGATTGGCTTGTGCGCGTCTGGCGTCTTGGGTAATGCCTCACCAGGAAGTGAGGGGGGCCTCCGCTGGGAGCAACCTTTAGAGAGCCCGCGCACCTCGCACGAGACGCAAAGTCTCACAATTTTGACTTATTACGCCGTGAGCACCGGTAAGTTTCCTTGGACATCGTTGGAAGGCGCCTTACAAATCAATGTAAATTGTTATTACCACGCGTACGACTCACGGGATGTCGTTCACGATCGTGGCGGCTGAGCGCTCGCCGTTCTTCGTGGTCTGTTCGCTGTGGGTTTTTTTTTATTGTTGAGAAATTGTGAAGTCCTTGACGGCATGACTGCGCGTTTAGCCTGCGTCGATTTATAATACAGCTTACGTTCATCGTCTTATTGTGCGTGTGTATATCATACAGGGTCATTTATTTATGGATATGAAAGAAAAACGTCGGTACATTTTTTTGCTCAAATGAGCATTGGCGGTCATCTCCCTGTTTACAGCCTTGACCCAGTGGAGGATATTTCCTCGTGTCAGCGGCGGGGACGGAAATCCACAGGGAAACCACCGTTGACCTCCCCACAAAGTGGTACAGATTGTATCTGCCCTGAAGTGATGATTGGCCGAGTCAAACCCCAAACATGGTTTGAACTCAGTTTAACATGTAGGCTTTCGCGACCAATGTCATCCATAATAGAGGGGTTTTTTTGGGGGGTTAGTGTAAATATATAAATGTGTCGTTAAAACCCACCACCATCCGACACAGCCAACTAGTAAGGGCTGTCACGTAAACAGAACGTGCCAATTCGTCACTAGTACAGCACACCGGTTTTGTGTTGGGGAGCCAAGCCACAACATTTACAATCTCCGTACTCAGTTGGCTGTGTCGGGTGGTGGCGGGTTTTAACGACACATTTATATATTTAGGCGATCTAACCCAAAAAAAACCTCTTATGGATGGTTTGAACTCGTATTGCGAGTCACTCGCTCTCCTGCCTAGCTACCTGGTCGGATAATAGATACCGCACTAAAATAATGTGAAGAAATTACGGAGAGAACTTATGTTTAATCACAGCCTCTACATTGTCTGCCTCCGATTTCAACACGCTTGTGACATATTTTAACACTCTCCGAATACGCTTTGTCCAAATAAATCTGGTCGGATTTGCTAACAGCAATACATATCTTCGTGAGGTATCTACGAATGCGTCATGGGATATGAATGTGTAAGGGTATGCGTACACCTTCAGAGCTAGGACGCACCAAATTGTGAAGCAGTTAAGATTGGTTAATAATTTTTAAAAATACATTTTAATTCTTCGATGTATGTGTTTTTAGGCCTGTTTATTTTTAACCGTGTGCTCCTCTCTCCCTCGCCACACGTGTGTGACTCTCCACCGCAGAAGTATTCGGACCCAGTGAAGTCGAGGCTGCTGGGTCTCATTCAGGCCTGGTCGCAAGCCTTCCGCCACGAGCCCAAATACCGCGTGGTGCAGGACACCTACCAGATTATGAAGATGGAGGGTGAGAAGTTTGCACGCTCTCGCGTTGGGCTTTGACGCTCGCAAAGTTAAAAGCTCGCGTTGCGTGCGTCGATTTGCGCCCGTTAGAATGGATTATTTGTGTTTAAATCACAGTTGAATTTCGATTTAAAGCTTTCGTGACTGCAGGGATTCATCTTGGATCTTTCGGTAAAGTCACGTAGAAGGGAAGTAATAAATAATAAAATAATAATAATAAAACATAATAAAATAATTCTCACGACGTTTCGAGGACGGCTGCTTGCGTTGTGGCCGAAACGTTGTGAGAATTATTTTATTATGTTTTATATTTATTTTATTACTTCACTTCTACGTGACTTTACCGAAAGAACCAAGAAGATAAACCACAGTTGCTGAGCACAGGCCCAGAAGCGTCACGTGATGTTCTAGAATGGTATGCCATATGATACGCTACTACGTATTAGTCGAATGGAGTGAACAAAATTGTAGAACGTGAGGCGGAGAGAAATGGGAGACTGTTCAATAAGAAGATACAAAGGAAGAAAAGTCGTGCGTACAGCATGGCTCGTGTAAACGTTTCGCTGATGTGCGTTTAGTTCTCGGAAAGGAATTGGCGATAACTTTTAAGTTTCTCGAAAGCTCTGTCAACGCGGCGCTTGAACCACAGTGTTGAAGTCGCGCACGTTCAGGAGTCTGGCTCGTTCAGGGATGACAGCGATGGATACAATCCGTTGGGAGGAGCAGGAGATGTGTTTTTATTTAGCTGGTGGCGTGAAGCTGACAACTGGTGTTTCGATGTCGTATTGCAATTTGGGATTCGGTATAAGAATGTATTTTTGTTCTGCGTTGTTTTTACAGTCTCATTCGTCTCGTCTATTATAGAGGTTTTTTTCGTTTCGATCGCGTAGATATTAATGTGTCGTTAAACCCGCCACCACTCGTCACAGCCAGTTAGTAAGGTTTGCCACTTATACGAAACATGCCAATTAGTTATTATTTCAGAACACCGGTGTGTTGGAGAGTAACCCACAACATTAACAATTCGAGTATTACCTTTCGCCGGTAATTACCACCAGCCTCATCAAGGAAATAATTGAAATGCATTGTAAATAAGGTATGCTCAGGTGCATGAGTTGACGTGTGTGTGTGTGTGTGCACGAACGATGTTGTGTGTTCCAGGATTCACATTTCCAGAGTTCAAGGAAAGTGACGCTATGTTTTCGGCAGAGAAGGTAAGGCTTAGTGGGTGGAATAACCTGCGATGGGGGTCACATTCTGTGTCAAATCGTACAACTTTGTCCTGCTTGTGTTTTTACGGGATGGTGTGTAGCTCCCTTGAAAGATGGAGCGGCACAGGGTGCTGTTGTGTTGTAAGCTGTCGTGGAATTGTCTGTGGTGCGTGCGTGTTGGGGGCCTTGTGCACGTGCTGTGCTGAGATTCGCATTGCATGGCGAGTGTTGCGTTTGTGGTCATTGTTTCTTGTTGGAATGTGTTGTGGTTGGGTGCTGTCATGTGTACATGGTGTTTTGAATTGTGTGTGATGTTTTGTATGTGTTACGGTGCAGTTGTGCCTTGCGTGTTTTTGATGTGCGTTGTGAAGTGAGTTGTGGTGCATTTTGCAGTTTGTGGTATGTTTTGTGTGTGTTTTGATGTACATTGTGTGATGTAGTGTATTGTGTGTTGTTTGTGTAGGCGTGCCTTGTATGGCCTAAACGTGAACATAGCCTGGCACAAGCGCCGTGGTGACGTCACCGCCACTTAGCGACGAATGGCGGTTGTTGTTTTGTGTGTGGTGGTGTGCCTTGCGTGTATGGTGGATTGCCTTGCGGTTACGGTGGTGTGCGCTGCGTTGTGTGTTTGCGGTTTCGCGTGCTGGATCTTACGTTGAGTGCTGCTTGTTCCCGTGGTGACGGTGTGGCAGGCCCCTGAGTGGGTGGACGCGGAGGAGTGTCACAGATGCCGCGTGATGTTTTCCATGACAACTCGCAAGGTGATTTCCCATCACCCGTCCCCCCCCACCACCACCGCACATGCGTCGGTACACTTGTACTAACCATCGCTCCGCAGGCAGTGATTGACCGCAGTTCCTCCATCTGCCGTTCTAACCTCGCAGCACCACTGTCGAGCATGTGGACAGATCTTCTGCAGCAAGTGCTCGTCGCGTGCCTCCACCATCCCGAAGTACGGCATCGAGCGGGAGGTGCGCGTGTGCGAGCCTTGTTACGAGCAGCTCAACAAGTGAGTACCGCCTGTCTTTCACATGGCCTCCTACCTGGCACCTACCTGTCTACCTGGGGTCGTAGCATGGCCACGCGTTTGCCTTCTTGTTGCAGAGGTTCACGGATTTAATCCAGGGACAGCCAGATGAATTCTGCGGGTGTATTAACCGTAACAAATACTGCGCGCCATCTGTTGAAGATCTCGTGATATCGTTAACAAGAGTAGGCGGTCCAGATTTGGCAAATAAAAAAAAATGCCCCTGTAAGTTATTTAATTGGAATATACAAAGCAATCAATCATCGCCCCCTCCTGCGAAAATTTGGCAGGGCCCTACTGAAAAGTGACACTGAGGCCTTCCTGGGTATAGCAAGAATAATGGGAGTGTGCTTGTTTATTTCGCGACATGTATTTAAACTCGTACACGAAAAGCAAAGATCCCAAACACACTCGCATGTATGTGCGAGCGCACGCCTGCACACTCGCTCATGCACACCTGTAAACGCGCGTACACCAGTACACACACGCGTGTGCGCGCGCACACATTAACCTGTACATATTTGCACAGGCACAATTGCACAGGTGTACAAACATTCACCTACCTGTATGCACAGACACACACACACCACTCAAAGGCTTGGAGAGGCCTCTTTGTCCTACAATGGAGACACCGTTATTGATGACTACGACGACGATGTGCGTTATTGTCGGGGACTTAGGAAGGACCCCAACGCCAAGCCGGCAGAAGGGGAACTCCCCCCGGAGTACCTGGCCAGCTCCCTCGCGCAGCAGCCGCAGGTGAGTGGCCATGCGCGCGGATACAACTGTGGGTTGAACTGCGTTTGTACTCGCGATGCGGTGAAACCTGTCGTAGCCAGACTCGTTGAGGTGGTTGGCTGGGAGAGCCTTTCCAGTTTTGGTGTAAGCCGGACAAACTGTTAATAATTCACCAATTGAGAAAGTTGCGCACTTTAACGTTGGCTGTTGAGGGGGATATTTCAGAGGGGGGTGGTGGCGTAGATGTGGTAAACGCAGGGCCAAGAGGAAGATGTTTGGGAGCCAGGGGATTCATTTCAAGCCCACGTGAAGTCGTGGGCTGCCCATCCTTTAGTTACAATTTTAATAACAAAATATCACTGCCATACAGTTTAACCCGAGTCACTTTCCGTCACCATGAAGCAGGAGTTGAAGGCTTGAGGTTCACGGGACGTGGAAGGCTGGAATGGATTTTGAGACACACGCTTGGAGCATTTATTTTGTTGTACATTGAAAGTAAAATATGGAAGTGAAAACAGTGATAGGAGGGGAGCACTGATGCAGGGAACAGATTCCTGAACTGCATAAAAACTGATACCACAACCGATTATTTGGCAGTGGTGGGCAATCACAGACAGCAAAACAACGCATTCCTCAATGACACTTCGGCCTGAATAGAAAAAAAAATATCTATAATGAATCGGTGACGTATCGCGCAACGATCCTTCATGGCGCACAACCCAGGTGAAATACATGAAATTGCGTGCCGTAAAGAAAGGCCATTGCCCAGAAATGTCGCATATTACGTCGTTTTCCTTTTTAAGGCCCCCCACAGTGTTATTAACGAATGTGTGGAATGTTTATTTTTGTACTCGTGAAGTGCACCACGTGTGTCGTACATTGGAAAGTGTAGTGCACATGCACACGGCGTCTCCTACCACATGCAGCTTATTAATTGCGTGAACAGTGGTGGGGAGGGGATTTCGAGAGGCCTCCGTCCAGCTTACTCGTGTCCAGCTTTCAGAGGTTTTCCTGTGAACGCAAAATGTCATCTTCACGTGACCCAGGCCTACCCCTAACCCCTGTCACTAACCCCTCCTTGACCACTCCCCAACCTGTCCTACTTACCGTCACCATGGCTACACCAGCACTTTTAAATAAGCCCACTTTATTCTTACCACTGTCATCTAATGTGCTAATTTATCATTATTGTAAAGCGCCTTTGACCAAGGCGCGACATAAATCTGTGTAAGATGAGATACGGATCCTGCAAGTCAGTGTTTGACACATCTGCCAACACTTCCGCCACACGTTGCCACACGTCAACAAACCGTGAGATCCTGCATTGCGTAAATAGGGGTGGAGTTTTCAAAGGTCGATAAGTTAATCATGAACTGCACCACCCCTACGCTCATGAGGCACTCGATGTGGTGATTCATCGATTCCAGCCTGCGAAATAGAAACCTAGGCTCGCAATGCGTTTGCCAAATCGCTCGTTCTCTACTCAGATGTTTGGTATTTTGACATAACTAAGTTTACGTGGATTCTCATCACTATAAATTATATAGGTTCTGTATACACCACAATAGCCAAACATTTTAATAATCATCGTTTCGTGGATTGAATCGTACAATTTCGTCAATCCGCGTTCAGGGAGAATGATTACCTCTAACTTTACCATTCGGGCAACCACTTTTGACTTCCCCAGAAAATGGTCATGCTTGATGATCTTCGGTCGTTTAATAGTCATCGTTGGCATCGATATTCGATGACGTGTGAGAATTTTCGTCGCCCAATATCGCGAACAAAAATTAACGGTGCTGCGTGCTCACACCGTCAGGTTCCTCCGAAGCGCGACGAGACTCTCTCCCAGGAAGAGGAGGAGCTGCAGCTCGCCCTGGCGCTGTCGCAGTCCGAGGCCGAAGAGAAGGAGCGGCAGGTGAGTGGGGGAGGAAGCACCCATCGCCATGACGTCGCGCGCACACACGTTCATACCACACGAGATTTGTCATCACCATCGTCGGCCTTCATCATTCCACTCTGGGATGAAGGCCTCGCCAAGCTATCACCGTCTCCCGCAGTCCTGTGATGTTGCGTTCCACCTGGCACCTGCACACAAATCTATTCCCTTGCTCCATCTCCACGGTGGGCATCCTCTCTGGTGTGTTACCTCCTCGGGTTACCACTTCATCATTCGTCGATCACAAGCCATCATCTATTCGAGACGTGTCCTGCTCGGGCCCACTGACTTTTCTTTTACTTAAGTCAATATGATGTCGTTAACCTGGATCCGTTCTCTAATCTAAATGTTCCACTTTCTATTCGTCAATGTAAATCTAAGCATGATGAACATCACGTAATAAGAAGTAATGCCTCTCATGAGCAAGTGTTCATGCTCTTTTCGAGTGTTTGGTATATTTGCATCTTCTAGTCCCTTAGGCGTTTGGGCCGTTGGGTAGTGCCAAGTGTGATGCAGCATATTGTCCGACATTTCGCTCCGCATGCTGGGAACTTTTTCAGGAATCGAACTGAGACACTGACGTTCTCCCTCGATAATAGATAATTTCCGGTTGTTGACTTCTATTGGTTCGGCTCCCTGACGAAGGCCGGCGAGTTTTGGACATAATGCTGAAACAACACGCGGCACAACCTGAAAACACAGCGGAGGAGAGCGCTATACAGCACAAGCCTACGCATAAGTGTTGACGTGTTTTGTGTGGACTCGTGCGTTTCAGCGGCAGAAGGCCGCGATGTCGGCCTACACCCGCTCGGGCTCCCCCGTCGTGGCGTCCTCGTCCTCTCCCGCCAACACGCTCTACACGCCCACCACGGTGCGTACCATGCCCCCCCCCCCCCCCCGTGCCGCTGTGGTGACCCCTACGACCCGCCACCTCAGGGTCTCAAGGGGTGGGGTAAAGCGAGGAGGCCAGCGAATGGAGGGAACGGCCAATATAGGAATTGGCAGATTTAAGGGTTTTTCCGGTAAAGTCACGTACGTAAAAAATAAAATTAATGGAAGTAATAATAGAAATAAAATAAAAAAACACGACGTTTCGGAGGCAACACAAGTCTCCGTTGTCAGGTGGGACCATCACGGCTAAATTTACTGCATTAAGTGAGGCAAAATTGCAAGAGACAAGCCCTTAAATACAAGTTAAGGGGCTTGACGGTCCCACCTGATGACAGAGACTTGTGTTGCCTCCGAAACGTCGTGATTTATTATTTTATTTCTATTATTACTTCTATAAATTTTCTTTTTTACCTACGTGACTTTACCGAAAAAGCCTAAGAGTATGAATCCTTGCAGTCACGAAAGCTTCAAATCTAGATTTAAGGGTCCGCAAAGTGTAGGGGGCAGCAAATGTGTGGGGTCAAAGTGTAGGGGCCGGCCATGATAAGAAGCCAGCAATCCAGCGAACGCATCTGGTGCTCCTGTGCACATCGCTTTTTCCCATGAACACCAGGACCTTCTCTTTTTGTTTTACAGGTGTCATCTGCTCCCCCAGCTGAAGAACACGATCCAGAGGTGAGGTCCAAAGGATCCCGAGATTTAATACGCATCACGTGTTGCTGTGCCGCTATTTGGTTGAACCGGAGCAAGTGCCGTTTCATTGTTGTCTACCAAGCATTCTCACGGACGGTCTGTGTGTGTGTACAGCTGGCGCGCTACCTGAACCGGCAGTATTGGGAGCGCAAGCAGGAAGAGGGCGTGGTGGTGCCCACCACACGCCGCAGCCCCACCCCGTCCGCTCCTGAGCCTTCCCCGGCCGCCGCAACCAATCCGGTCGCGGTCGAAGGGCACGTGTCGCCCATCAAGGTGGCGGAGGTGAGGAGGCAAAGGTTTAACCCCAGACACGAGCAGCTCTTGTCTCGTGGATACACGCTTGGGGCGTGTGTTCCTGGCTGTCGGACACGAGTGTGAAGAGTCCTTCAGGACAAAACACCCTTGAAGGTTATGAGCATGCGCTGTAATATCAGTCAATTTATTGTCATTTTAGAGCTGCTGTGGCAATACATAGTTGACGGTAACTTTAAAGGCGATCTTTTGATTAACAAAGCTTTGTGTTCGACAGCGTAGGACACTGTTGGCGCAAATCGACAACAACTTTCGAACTTTTTGTGTTTTGGATCTCTTATTCGTTAAACGTCCTGCCGGTCTCTCTCCTTGCCAATGCCCTGAGCTCATTTTGATTTGGACCACGCGCACCCTCCCCCAACCCCTGACTTGTCGTCCGCTGCCACCCACCCTCCTCCTCGCTGCAGCAGTACCAGAACGGCGAGACAGAGGAAAACAACGAGCAGTTCCTACGCACGCTCAACAACGCCATCTCCACCTTCGCTAACCGCATGAAGAGCAACCACGCGCGCGGACGCAGCATCACCACCGACACGGCCGTGCAGTCGCTCTTCCAGGCCATCAGCAACATGCACCCGCAGCTGCTGCAGCTGCTCAACGAGCTGGACGAGAAGCGCCGTGCGTACTCGCCGCAGTCGTTTGCGACACCGCGAGACTACAATGCATCATTTGTAGCCACCCCCCTTCCCCCCCCCCCCCCCACAATTGATGCTTATGGCGGTACCCCGGGGTACCAAATAATACAAAATGGCCGAGGCAATTAAATGTTTTATTTCTGGGACACTATTTTTCCCAGGGGTGTACTTAACTCCGCGACTGGGGTACCAATCAACCCAAAATCAGTGCCACTCCGCGATGTCGAAATGCCAAACAGCACAAAAAAATCGGTTATCGAAAAATCCAACTTTGCATCGTGTGCAGCTCGTCGAGATGAGTCGATTGCCGCATCGCCGACCATCAACAGACTAAAAATGACTGCATCACGGACGGTATTATGTTATGTACAATTTAATATTTGTTATTATTGTAAAGCACCTTGAGTTAAGGCACTATATGAATATATATATAAGATACTATCTCTACAGTACAATACAAGGGCTACAGAAGAGGGGTGATGAATATCTGAACCGATCTTGGGCCTCCCCTAAATCGACTTAGCCTCAAATGACTACCTGGTGTAGTGTGTAAACATCAGCACTGGGGAGACAAAGGCAGCTGGGCATGGTCCTGGTCACCGATACATATGTATGTACGTTGAACTTCTTTTGCACCGTACGTAGCCAACCGTGCCAAACGGAAGTGCAGGGGAAGGATAACAAACTAAACACAAAAATCAGTTGGATAGAAATGAGTTTTCACTCTAGATTTAAAAGTACATAGCTTCCAGAGGCTTTCTAATATCGGAAGGAAGAGCGTTCCAGATTGCCGCAAGAGCGCTAGCGGCACTTGCCCGAGCAACGGTCTGTTAAATGGTACGCGCGGATTTTGTTTTGTTTGCGCGTGGCGCCGGCAGTGCACTACGAGAGCCTGCAGGACAAGCTGGCGCAGATCCGAGACGCGCGCGAGGCGCTCAACGCGCTACGCGAAGACCACCGCGAGAAGCTGCAGCGCGCCGCCCAGGAAGCAGAGCACCAGCGGCAGCTGCAGCTGGCGCAGAAGCTGCACATCATGCGCCAGAAGAAGCAGGTGAACGAGCGGGGGGGGGGGGAGGGCAAGGGCACCGGCATTCGAGGAGGGCGCGACAGAAAATGAGGGAGAGAAATTAAGCTCGTGCATGCCCAATGTTACAGTTAGGCCAGCAGTACGCAAACTTTGTGGTATGTCCCCCCCACCCCCCACCCGCTCCTCTCTCCCCGCTCCTCCCCCTACCCCCCGTTTGAGACCACGAATGTTGGGATGTCTCTCTGATCAACTGCATGTGCAGCTCAGTCTTGATTGAGTGTAGATGTTGTGCGGTGACACACGCCGTTAGCCTGCAGGAGGGTACTGAGCTCCATCAGAAACTCCTCCTGCACCATTCCAAAGCCGTTGCTGGCGACCCACCTGTGAGAAAGGTTTCTGCACCGCCGTTGTGTTTATTCCATTTTGTCCTGTTTCCGATCTTTCGTTGGGCCGTCAACTTCCTTGAAGACGCTGCCGGTATCTGTGCTTCTTGCCGGCGATTGTATTGATCCAGTGAGTGTGTTAACGAATGAATGCGTCCATGTGTGCGTGCAGGAGTACCTGGAAATGCAGCGGCAGCTGGCACTGCGACGGCTGCAGGACCAGGAGAGGGAGCGGCAGATGAGGCTGGAGCAGCAGAAGCAGACCATACAGATGCGCGCGCACATGCCTGCCTTCTCCCTGCAGTACGCATCGGTGAGCATTGTCTAGCCTATGTCCCCAGCCATAGCACCAATTTATTCCAGCCCTGCTTCTAATCTTAGCCTTAGCATGGTGTCCGTTGCCCTAACCCGAGCCCCATAGCTCTGGTTCTGAATTTAGCCATTCATGATGTGGGCCATGTAAGAAATGTGGTGTGTATGTTAGTGGGGAGCGATGATGCTGGGTTTGCTCAGTGCTGCGATTGAGACTAAACTGGGTTCAACTCCTGCCAGTACCATGCGGCATCTGAACATGTCATGGGCCTCTCTCAGGTTACCTCGGCCTTAAATGAGTATTTGGTGCAAAGTGTAAACAAAGGTAGCCATAATGTAATTTATTATGTACTCAATGCATGCATTATATAGGATTTCTACAAATTATATGAAAAGGTTAGATTTAGGCTCGTGTAAGTGTATCAACAAGACCGAAAACAACTGAGAACCATTACACACCAAACTAAAATTTGTGAAAAGAATCGATTCTTCATCGCGGCCTTGAATCGCGGCCTTGAATCGTGACGTCTCATTGAATCTCTGGGGGGAGAGGGCGGGGAGTGCGATGACTGATTTCTTCATACCCGCTGGGTTCGTGTCCACGAGAGGCTTTTGTGTTTTGGCCACGTCTTGTGTTATTTAAAGCTGGGGATGCTGCCGTGGTTTAATGGTTTTCACCCTGGACTTGCAATCCAGAGGGTGCCGATTCGTTTTCCGATCTGCCGGTACGGCGGCTGACACAACGGTCGCAAGTATCTTAAATCCCCCTACCCGCCTCTTTCCACCCAGCAGTATAAATGGGTACGCCACGGTGAGTCGTTCGGCAGGTTGCACGTGGTGGGGTAAAATGTGGGTACTCCCAATTCCAAGATGTATGACCTGCATGGCAGAGCACAATTGTCTCCAGAGGGGTGTTCTTCTGCGAGCAGTGGCCTGAGCAATTGCAGAGCCGCGCCTTTACCTTCGCCTGATGAGCTAAAATGTGCCGCCTGTCCGTGTCCGCGTCTCGCGCCTCTCCAGGGTGTGCCTCAACCGGGCCCTGGCGGCGTGTACCAAGCGCCGCCCCAAGGGCCCCCCGGCAGCCTCAAGCAGGCGTTCAGCCCTCCCAGCTCGCTCGAGGGCTCCCCCATGCACGGCACGGCCTACCCGGGCAGCCTCCCGCCGGGCCAGGGCGGCGTCGCTCCTCCCTACACCACCGCCCCTGCCCCATTCAACCCCACGCAGCCACAGACCACAGGTGGGGGGCCCGGGTTGTGCGCCGGCGCTGGGCTTGCAAGTTTTTCCGCTTCATCGAGCGCTCGTCAGGAAGAGTAGTGCGTGTTAAGTCACGCTAAACGAGCACGATCCCTGATAAGTTTTGAAATAAATGATTAATTCTGCTTTTATGCGATCTAATTTGATCTTAGAAGCTAAGCGAGGTTGAGCAGTGGGGAGACAGAGGGGGGCCAGGTGTGGTGATTGCCGGAACACCCCCCTCGTGCGCCGTGCCCGCCTTAATAGGCACTCTTTAACAGGATTTGCTCCAACCGCCTGTTAAAGCCACTCTTGCACATTGGACTAAACTCAGGTAATACTGGGGGTGTGGGTTGATCTCTGTTGTGTGTGCGTGTGTTCAGATGCAAACTACGGAGGGCAGTACATGTACCCGGCGGGGGTTGGAGGCCCACAGCCTGGAGGGCCCAACCCCCAAGGGCCCTACCCCTACCAGCAGCAGCCACAGCAGTACCAGGTGCACACCCTGTGGCACACGCACACCCACTCGCCCGCACACCCACTCACCCGCACACCCACTCACACGCTCACCCACTCGCCCGCACACCCACTCGCCCGCACACCCACTCGCCCGCACACCCACTCGCCCGCACACCCACTCGCCCGCACACCCACTCGCCGCACACCCACTTGCCCGCACACCCGCTCAACCCGCACGCCCGCTCGCCCGCACACCCGCTCGCCCGCACACCCACTCGCCCGCACACTCACTCACCTGCTGCTGCCTCTTGCTTGAGGAAGACGCAGCCAGCGAAACTACTTTAGTCATGCAGTACCGAGGCTCTGTCCCGGCATGAGTGTTTGAAGCTTTGTAAATGAGAACAATGAAATGTTTTAATAGGCGTCTGGTCACATACGCCTCGAGTGATGTCATTGCGTTTGGAGTGACATCTTGAGTGGCCATAATGATGCACTTTAGCATAACTTTAATTAATATTTTTATTTCATTAACTGCAGTTGATGGGCCAAGTTTCTTAAACTGCCCCCCCTCTGTCTACTCGGCAGCATCAATGGGTACACCGCAGTCGTACGACAGGTCACGTGTGGTGGGGTTTATGTGTGGGTATTCCAACTTCTTTTTAAGACATCTGGCCAGCTTGGAAGAGTAGGCCAAAATAACCTTCTAGATTGATTCTCCAGAGCTCCATCGTGCAGGGCCCTCTTCGGTCAGCGGCAGCTTAGGGCAAGCAATCGCACTTCCGCATCTTTATTTAAACATTTTAGCGATGCCACCTCCATTACATCGGACCACGTGAGCCCGCCTTTTGAGTAGAGACCATCTTTGGTTCCTCAGCATTGCGTGCGTTAGCCGTCCGCACCGAGGCGGAGAAACGCGGTTAACTGTGCGACATCCTTTTGCAGGAGGCGGTGAGCCAGCCGCAGTCTCTGCCGGCCGCGCCAGCGCCTGGCGTGCTGTCCTACCCGTCGGCCTCAGTGGGCTATGCGCCGTACGGCATGCAGGTACGGCGGGGGCGGCTTCACCGTGGCTGCAAACGTGTAGCCACCCTCTCCCCGTCATTGGGAGCCGCGTCTCGTTTCTGCCATGTGTACCTCTTGCCACAGCTGTTTGTCCTCGTGCGCCAGTCGCTTATTTGCACTGACTTCCAAATTAATTTGCTTTGAGCCATTAGATAGATCCCCACTCGAAATGTACACATCACCGGTCTCTGCTTTGTCCTGATGAATCTCCAGGGATTATGACTTTCAGACTAGTGGCTTAACAGCTGTGTTACAGAGCAAATGATCAGCTCTGTTAACCATGGGGAATGTATTCTGGGTTGCTGATGTAAGTATTAATTGTTTATTTTTGTATGCCATTTACATTGTGTAAATCAGTGGCTACTCCAAAGCTTCATAAATGAGGGTGTTTATTTAATAACAATTGCGGTCGTCGTGGATTAATGGAACGGTTGCCGTTGTTGTGATCGTCCACAGGGGATGGGGGTGGCACTGCCCGGGCAGGAGCAAGTGCAGGGGCAGCAGGGAGGCTTCCCGCAAGGGCAGGCACCGCCCGCCCAGCCCGGCTACCAGCAGCCCACCTACCAACCCGTACGCCCCTTGCCCACACAACAACAACCGCCATTCGCCACTCAGTGGTGGTGACGTCACCACGGCGCTATGTGCACGTTGAGGCTACACACCCACACCGATGCAAACGCACACCTGCATGTCCACTCGCTTATTAATGCACCCTGTGTAGGTTTTCACGGTCGTGCCGTGTGGCTCTCGGATGTGTTTCCGGGGTTGTGCCGCGTTTTGTTCCACATGTTGGGTGCTTCCTCAGGAATTTAATTGAGCTCGAGCATCATACAGATGCATCTGCGGTCATGTGCCTGTACACAAGTACACAACTGCGCAACCAACCATGTACCTAGCTCCCAACTGGGGTTGTAAATGTACGTATGTTGAACTTCTTTCGCACCGTACATAGCCAACCGTGCTAATTGGAGGTGTGGGGGAAGTACAACAAACGAAATGCAAAAAGCTGTTCTCAATACATAATCGGCTATCTATTCAAAAAGTCGTGGAATCAATGCTCGCATTCAGTTCGGGCCACTACTGGATGACAGCTTCGTCAGGCCAGGTTGGTCATTGGGCCATTCTTCACACTGGTCAGTGCGGGTTGGTCAACGTTAACACGCGGTTATCGACGCTGCTAAATATCCAAAATGAACAAAACTAGTCCCCTTCTTTGTTCTTTCGGTAAAGTCACGTAGAAGGGAAGTAATAAAATAATACAAATAAAACATAATAAAATAATTCTCACGACGTTTCGGCCACAATGCAAGCAGCCGTCCTCAGGTGAAGACCAGGTCTGTCGGGGAGACAGCGTCTGAATGAAACACCACCACGCTTGGAGCGTATATTTAAGCTGGGTTGGACAGACCTGCTCTTCACCTGAGGACGGCTGCTTGCGTTGTGGGCGAAACGTTGTGAGAATTATTTTATTATGTTTTACTTTTATTATTTTATTACTTCCCTTCTACGTGACTTTACCAAAAGAACCAAGAAGATGAATCCCTGCAGTCACGAAAGCTTTAAATCGAAAGACTAGTCCCATTTGAGCGTGAGACGGGTCGAGGCATCGTCACAACCATCGCCACCTTCTCGTTGCTGTGAACGACAGTGGATTTTATCGTTTATGCGTGTGTCATGCAGGCACCCCAGCAACCATTGGCAGCACCAGGCCCCGCGTCCGTCGCTCAGCTTATCTCCTTTGACTGAGACGACACAGTCATCTCCCGCCCACTCTTTCCCTTTCACACTACATCCCTCTTCTCCTGCTGTGGACTGCTTTCTCTCACCCTTTCTCGCCCCCCCCCACCAACCTCATCACCTTTCTCTGCCTGTTGCTGCTGCTTGTCCTGTTCCTATCTGAGCTTCTCGTGTAGCTCGATCTGCTCCTCTTCATCCTCAACCCCTGCTCGTCCCTCGCTGCTCACCCTCCATGGACTTCTTCTGTCAAGGGCTCGCTCGGCAGCAATGCTCACCGCCGACGCCCCTCTACAGTTGCAGGCCGGATCAGTAGCGCCTGGCTCCACGGTAATGACACCTGGAGGAATTCTTCAGCTCGAGACGCCACGCCGCGCGTGTCTGAAGTGGGCCGGAGAGAGGCGGTGAGAAACAGTTGTAGCGAGAGTCACTTTTAAATTGAACGAGCGTCGAGCTGGCACCTTTTTGCCTGGGGGGGTGGTCGTTGATTCGCTGACGATTGATGCCCTTGTGCTGTTGGCGAGTGGCGTTCGGCCAGTTTGTTGTGTTGCTAAACCTTCTCAAGTCTGCTTCCAGGAACGTGTAATCTTCTGGGTCTGGTTTAAATGGTGTCCCTGTGCACTGTGCTGGTTTGGAGTAAAGTTTTGCGTGTAACCGCTGCCAGTATCGCATTTTAACTAGTTTTGCCTGAGACAGCAGCGTGATTCACCTGCGAAAAGAGTTGTCAATGCGCCAATGGCAGAGGTGGCGGGCACGAGGTTTGCGAGGCTAGGGAGTCTCGCACACAGAGCAGCGAGGTTTCTCCTACGCTCCCGTCGATTGGCGAGCGATGTATGCAGCGCCGTGCTTGCCGCTGGCCAGGCACCGATCCACGGGGCTGTCATCTTCATTTTCAACCCCTGCATCCTTTTATCTCTTCCCCGTCCATCGCTCGCTAAGTTGGTAATGGATCGTGACCCCCTGCTGCACCAGCGGTGTCCCCCCACAGCTGTTTGGGTGGGTGGCACGCTGTGTTTGAATCTCTTAATATTTTTGTCGAAGTAAACGCTCGGAGTTTCCGCGATGACCGCAAGACACGGCCGTCTGCCAACGTGCACCGCGTCCAATATCGGCCGCACCCCCCCCCCCCCCCGACGGTGTTGCCATTCGCAATTTTCCGTGCACGATCATGAACGGTGTTGGTAAATTTAAGAAACGTATAAAGTAAATAAGCTTAAGGTTAAGGTAGTAAGCGTGTGTTCGTCGCAGAGGGACACGGGCGTGTCAAGCCATTGAGGCTCATTCCTCCATTAACCTTTCCTTTTAACGAATAAATATGAAACAAATGAGGTTTTTGAACTGAAATGACTTACCGTGATTTCTGGCGTGGCCTAGTCATGCGTGTGCATCCTTGTCATTGGTAACGCTGCCTGTAAATATGAAGCGTACTCTGAAGCCTCGCAGTCCAGGGCCTCAGCTGCAGCCTGGTCAGGTGAAGTCTGGAACCCATCGATGGGGCCTCGGGACTGCTCCTGCTCCTATATATTCAGCCTTTTCCCCCCTAGCTTCAATTATTCAAAACAAAGGTGCAGTCCTGCAATTACTTGCTCATGTCACTGCTGGCAGAAGAGCTTCCATTAGAGCCCTTTCTAGAGGATGTCTTGGGATTCGGTGGGTATGTACCCACACTGATTTTTTTATTGGTTCAATGTGAATTTGCTTAAAAGAACCGCACAATTTGTTGAAAATGCTTCTTATAATTTATTCCCAACATTCTGACGAAGCCCATGACAATGGCACCATCTTGAACGCAAAACTCTTGATTTCCCCCAATGTGTCTGCTGTAACGGTCGCGTTGTCCACCACGACGTCACCACGCCGAATAGGTGACGTCCTGTGGCGGTGACTGCACACGTAAAGCTTTCGAGTCGTGTGGACCGTGGCTGAAATTCCAACATCACAGCAGTCCACATTGGAGGTTGATATACGAGGGTTGAATAACACCGATGCTGCGCCCATTCTGAAGGTTTTTCCGAATGTGATACAGAAGCTTATAGATATAGAAGGGGAAAACCTCTGATCTAGCAACATCGTGGCAGAGGGGTGGTGAATTTAGAATAACCAGTGCACAATGCCGTTGCCCGCCAGTCTGTGTGGCTGCGTGTAAGAGCCTTGTCCTGCAATAAAGTCGACTATAAACACTTGCTGGTCCATTTCATTTTTATTTTAAACGTTGCCCGGGTCACCAATGGCTGCACAAAAACACAACATGCGGGTCCACATTAATAATTAATTATCGATGTCTCCGTCATGTAAACAATAATACTGGCCGCAGAGCGGGGTTGAACAGTGCTGCTGCCCTTGCCTCTTTGGACCAGAGGTCAATGCAAGGGGTGTCAGAAGTAGCTCTGTGGTATCCAATTCCGTGGGCCATTCAACATGAAAACGAAAGGTTGCACTGCTTTGCGAGTGATTGGAATATTTAAGGCTCACGACACCGATCGAAAACGAGATAAAATTACATTTTATCTAAAGCTGTGCTTGTTTGCAAAAAAATGATTAGCAAAACACAAATGAGGGACTCCTGAATTAGCTTGTCATCCAACTGCCATCTCTACCCTGTCTTCTGGAAGACCAGGCACTTGTTGTTGGCTGGCATTTCCACCTGAATGGAATGGGGTAAGAAAAAGTTAAAGCACATTTTTTTAAACGTACCTCGTTCGTACTGGTTAGTGCACACACCATATCTGATGTATGTAACCTATATTCACATTCTAATGTTACATTTCAGATGGAGCAAACACATGAACACGTACAAACTGGGGGGGGGGGGGGGGGGGGGGGGGTGGGGGTGGGAGAAAATAATACAGATTTAAAAAGATAGAAAATATGCTTTTGAAATTGAATCGGAGCCACGAATTGCAACAATTGATCAAACTTCCCAAGGTACAAGGGGTGGGGTGAGTAGCTGAACCCGGACTCACCATCCTCTGGAGACGCATGCCATTGGTGAGCGCCAGCTGCTGGAGCATGCTGACATCCCGCAGTCCCCACTCCGGGTTCCTGGCAAGACAACCACAGGGACTCGCACTCCTCGCCTGGCTCTCATGCCGTCAACACCCATCTACCCACCCCGCCAGCAATGTGGCCAGCATGGAGCTAGCTCTGAACACAAGCGCCATGACCAGCTAGAAGACCCCATGGGGCAACCACCAAGCCCATCGCTACCACCTCCAAACGCATCACTCGCATGGATTGGTTAACTATGGGAAAGGCCTATAAACTTCAGCAAATGAGGCTGCTAATCACGATGCAGTGGAATGTTTGACATTAGTTATTGAATAAAATATCTGAACATTGTCATTTAAAGCCACTGCTAGATGAAGCCATTGCCACAATAGGTGTATTATGGTTGTTTGCCCATCTTCACACGACTGGGGCCAGTGCTGGATTGACTGAGGGAGGCACAGGACCGGTTCTGATATCACCACCGATTTTAGCCATGGCCTGGAATGGAGCTCGGGTCGACCGCTGTGCCATCAGTCCACTCGTCAATTGAATAGTGGAGTACAATTTTAACCCCATTTTTTTAAAAAGGTCCATTCTGCATAAATAAATAAAATGTTATATTCAATGTAGCACAGCCTTGACGTGGCCAAGAGCCGATCATAGACGGTATATACCGGATAGGAGCACCTATACCAGTCACGTACTCGGCCAGAGGCAAGACAATGTGCTCCCTTATCAATCACCGACCAGCATGGTGAAGTACGGTCAAACAACAACCCTGGTACCCAGGAAGCTCTGAGAACCCACCAGCCATAGCGTTGGTTAGGATGTTGATGGAGCAGAGGGCACTAAAAATCACTGGGTACGAACACGACGCCGCAAGAATTTGACTGCCGCGAGATGCAACGCACGGTGGGCTCTGCTGGGTGAATGAAAGCTTTGCTGAACCGGAAGCAGAATTGTTAGAAATAAAGTGCGACGGAGCGGGACTCGGTGAGGAAATGCGGGGCTCACCTCTCGCGCAAGTCGGCGTCAAAATCCACGTTGCTTTGCGGGAAGATGATCCCGTTCACTGCGTAAGGCTGTGTGAGGAGGAGTTAAAACAGCCGTTATCACCTCTATTTTGATTAACCCGATGAGAACTCAGGCTGCATGAGGAGTGAAACAGCTGTTAGTTTATTTTTGTTTAACCTGATAACTCAAGCGATCTGGATAAGTCTCGTTTGCACGGGTGACCTGTGGCATTCGCCTGCCAATAGAGCAATGACTGCTAGATATAATCCCAATTTGAGTAATTTGCCGGTCATTTTCTGATTTGTCCCGTGCAGCAAGCACGTGGCCATACTCTTTTTTCGAACAACGTCACGGGATCTTTGCCTTCCACTGTGAAGCAGACGGTGGCACATGTATATACACCCGCAGTATTAACCAGGGTGGCTGTATGGGGGGAGGGGGTTTAAATGATAAACCTCTGCAACAAAAACAGCAAATGTGGTAGCGCTCGGTCACACTCGGTAGTGAACTTACCCCATACGTCACCAAGAAGCCACTGGGTTTGAGCAGAACACCAGCATTTCTGAACAGACCCTGGAGGACACACGAAGACAAATATTCCCCATGTATTCTACACGGACTGTTAAGGCAAGTGCTGCTGGAGAACAACAAAGGTGGGCACGGCACACGGGGGAGGTGGTGTGGCCAGCACCGCACACGTACATGCACACACGCGCTTGCATGCATGGCACGCGCAATACGCACATACACGCTTGTGCGTGCGTGCGTGCACATATACACATGCATGCACACAAAGTTTACTTCCTTTAAACAAATGAGAACTCACGCAACCAGGATACAGTCTCATTTGCAAGTGACCTGCGTTGCAAAAATGACAAGCTAAAATAAAATAAACTCCAGCTTGGAAACAAATAGAAATCGGAGAAATAACTTTCACATGATAAATGGAAAATATTGCACGCACGTAAATCTTAAGTTAAGTAATAAGTTGTAACATAAGTTGGCTCGGGCAGATTATTTACTGACTGATCACTGTAGAATTACTCAAAAAGACCCCCCCCCCCCCCACCCCCCCCCCCCCCCCTATAAGGTCTTTAACAGACTGTTGAGGGCAAGTGCTGTTAGCTAGCACCTACGGAGCCCGGCACGGTGCACGAGGGAGTAATGCAGCTAAGACCACGGCCGGCAGCCTTTGTCTCCCCAGTGCCGATGCATATGTTGTATCGTAGACGGAGGTACTCGGAGACGGAGGTTGAGTTAGGGGCTTCCGCCAGGGTTTATTAACACTTATCACTATCCCTGGTTCCCTCTTTACCCCTTCCACTATCCCCGTTCCTCCAGTGACCCCGCTTACGTTACGGGGTCTCCCTTATATACCCTCGGAGGGGTGATGTCGCGTGCACTGCCCAGCGCGCGCGACCCCACGTCCCGTGAGGTCACCGCACCTGACAGCGCACACGACGCCACCACTCTCCACTACTCCTCTACATCACCCCCCCCCCGTAAAAAAAAACAGCCGACCCGGCTGCAATCAACCTTAGGGCAGCACGGCCCTTCAAGCAGAACAGTAACAACAAAAAAACAAAACAAATAGAGCCCGAAGGCCTCATCCGCCGGATAGCGCCGAACGGGCGCCAGGGGCTAGGCCCGCTGAACGGCCATCAGGGCCGTCACCGGAGCCGCACCCCCCTCGAGCGGGTATGCGCTGCTGGCCCGCTCCCTCGTGCGGTGTCCGCCACCCGTGCAGGTGGGCCGTCAGCGGGCAACAGGCCCACCGCCGTGGCCTCCGGTGCCTGGGGGGTCTCTGTCGGCCTCACTCGGGAGGGGCCTGGGGGCACACACACAGGTCGGACGTCACCTCCGTCAACGAGACCCGGCCGGTCAGGCACGCCGGATACATCATCAGCCGGCCGCTCCGGAATTGGGGGTGGATCCCCCAGGGTAGATGGAACATAACGTTTGAGCCGGGACGGGTGCACTATCCACTGCCTGCGACCGAATCGAATCCGGACGCATTGCGGCCGGCGGACCTCCACAACCTCCACGGGTCCCTGCCAAGGGCGATGCAATTTGGCCGATGTGCCAACGGGGACCTGGGGACAATGCAGCCACGCTTTTTGACCCGCTACCCACGGGAGGCCAGCTGCCTGGTGTTTTGGCAGCCGCTCATTAGCCGCCTGCCGGCTTGCGGAATTCTCGGCAGCGGCCTGTCGCGCCTCGCGCAGCCGGTCAAGTGCGACCTTCAAAGGGGTCGGCACCGACGACCCCTTCTTGGAGGAGCCAACGTCCATCTGGACGTGCACCGGGGGCTCCGGTTCCCTACCGTACATTAAATAAAAAGGCGAAAATCCCGTGGAGGCATGAGGGGCCAACCGATACGCCGCCAAGACCCCCGGGACGAACAGGTCCCAGTCTGACTGGGACGTGTTCACCTGGTGGCACAGCATGGACGTAAGGGTGCGGTTCAAGCGCTCTACCATCCCATCTGACTGGGGGTGGTAGGGCGAGGTGCGGATTTTCTTGGTGCCAAGGAGGTCACACACCTCCTTGAGCAACCTAGACGAGAAATTCCGCCCCTGGTCAGTCAACAATTGTTCCGGCGCGCCCTTGTCAAACACGTATCCCTGGACGAAGGCCTCGGTGATAGAAGAGGCCAACTGATCGACCAAAGGCCATGCCATGGGCCAACGTGTGAGGTACTCAACGCCCACCAAGAGGTATTTGTGGCCCCGTTGGGATGCAGGGAATGGCCCCAAAATGTCGAGCGCCACGAGCTCATTAACGCGAGAAACCCGGATGGACTGCAGCGGGGCCCGGTCCTGGACAACTGGGGCCTTCCTCCGCGCGCAGTCGTGGCAACCCTTCAAAATCAGTGCTACGTCACCCTCAACACCCGGCCAGTAATAGTCCCGCTTAAGGGTCAATAAGGTCTTGTGGTAGCCAAGGTGCATAAGCTTCTCGTGAATGGCTCGGGTTAATTTACCACGCAGGCTAGTGGGCACAACCACACAATAGCGTTCCAATTGGGCATCCCAACGCATGAGTAGTCCGTCATGCACGGCGATCGCCGGGGCAGCCGACGAAGCTAAGCTCCGGGCGTTATGTCCGACACGGCGCCGTAGCTTCAGCAGAGAGGAATCCTCCATCTGCAAGCCGGACCATACCTCCCGGGGAAGTC